AATCCTCCTGCCTCAGCCTCCTGAGTAGCTGGGACTACAGGCATGCACCACCGTGCCCGGCTAATTTTTTCTATTTTGAGTAGAGATGGGGTCTTGCTCTTGCTCAGGCTGGCCTCAAACTCCTGAGCTCAAACAATCCTCCCACTCTTGCCTCCCAGAGTGCTAGGATTACAGGTGTGAGCCACCGCGCCTGGCCTATGAACATCAGTTCAAAGTCCTAAACTCACAGTAAAGAATCATCCTGTGTTCACTTTACTCCAATCAGCTCTGGAGGGGTTGGGAGGCTGGAGCGGCACAGGGGGTACAAACATGGCTATAGGATCAATGGTTCCCCGAGAAGCAGGAATCACTATGAACTGTGAAGAAACTCCAAGGGTGTTATTATAACATCTCAAAGTCCAGCAGGAGAAGCAAGCTTATAAAGAACTAATTTCAACCCAGGCTTGTGTATGCTCAGAAAAGCCTAGAGGTGGATGGTATCAGGCATGCCTTCATATAGGAGGTGACATACCTACTGTTTGTTTTTTAAGTGAAGTTTATCACACTCAATACACACAAAAAAATGCATCCATTTTAAATGTGGAGTTTGATGAGTTCGACAAACGTGTACACCTGTGTCATCCCCGCCTCAACCAAGCTGCAGAACATTTCCATCAGTCCAGAAAGCTCCTCATGCCCCTTTGCAGACAATGCCCCCCCTTTGCCCCAGGCAACCAGTGATCTGACTTCTATCACTATAGATTAGTTTTGCTGGTTTTAGAATTTTATACCAGTAGAATCATTTAATATGTATCTTTTTTCCATCAACATTTTGTTTAAGATTCACCCACATTTCAACTGGGTTGTGAAGACTGAGAGAGGGTCACACAAGCAGAAGTGTGAGGGCGTTGCAGGGATGGAGATATAAATAGTAGAGTGTGCTTAGAAAACCAGAATCAGTTTAGTGTGACCCAAGCATGCAGTCTGAGAGGGCAGTGGCAGGGCAGGAGCCTGATATAGTCAAAAGAACTGGCAATGCTGAATTTCACGGGAGCCCTGTGCTCTTGGAAAACAGTGATGGGTAAGACATCCTTCTTAAACTTTTTGTGCATCGGAAACTGTTTACTACAAAGAAACACCCATTCCCATGTAACGTACGACTCAGGGATGCCTCTCTTGTCCACCTGTGGCAAGGCCCGTCCCATTCTTTGCCTCATAAACGATTAGCTAAGCCACTTGTCTCCATTGACCAATTGAAAAAAATGCTTGTTAATAAAACTTTGGTGGAGCTTCTTTCCTTTCCCCAGGCTGACCCATCCTCAGCCTGAGCCAGCATACCTACCCTCCTGAGAACAGGCTGGCCTCAAGATAAAACATTCTCTGATCTACTATCCAATCAAGCCACCCTTTCATCCCACTTCCCTGTATCCAGTTCTTCCTAGCCTTGCTTCCTCTTCCCTATGAACGAAAAAAAAAAAAAACTCTTTTTGCCTAACCCTTGAGACACCTGCGGATTTTTTTGTCAGACTAGTCTCCCTATCGTCCCTTTTGTCAGACATAGTCCCTCTTCTCCTCCCTCTCCTGCTTCTTGCAGTAATCCTTTTTAATAAAGTATCCTTCCTAAGTCTGGTTTTGTTTTCTTATTTGACGGAATCAAACAAACTTTCATTATAGTCCTGGTCCAAAAGCCCTTTAACTTTCAGCAAGCCACTTAACTTTTCCTAGTTTCTGTTCTTTCATATGTAAACTGGGGATGCCTTTCAGGACCTTTGTGAGGATTAGAGATGTGAAACCCTGAAAACATGGTAGATAATAAATAGTAGTCATTGCTTGTGTTATTATGAATCTATAAAGCTACATCAGAGTTGCTTTGTGAAAGGCCTTACAGGACAGATTGAGAAATTTATCATATTAACTGCTGTATCTTCAACTCCCGTCCAGTGTGCTTCGCGCATAGTATATGCTCAACAAATAATTTAGAAGGAATAACTTTATCGCCATTGACAGAGGAGAGCTATGAGAAAAATGGCCGGTTTCGAAAGGGAAGGTTGGTAGTTGTCGACTTTCACTGGCCCCTTCCTATTACAGTTCTCACCTTGTGTCTCTCCACACCTGTTTCCCCGATGGCTCCTGCACTGCCGTGGATGCCGCCTCTCCTGGAAGATGGCAATGATAATCCCTGCCATCCTCTGAAATCAAAAGAGAGAACGTGCAGTACTGCTTAAAAAGCCTGTTTAAAATGCCCCACCTCCTGATGCCCCGCCTTCCCCACGTCTCAAGTTCCTCCCACTTAGCCCGGTGCTAGGGGCGCATTTCCCTGGGTTAGGCCTGGTTCTAATGCGCATGCGTGACGCTCAGCCCCGGGGGGCGGGGCCGGGGCAACGTTGCGTCATCGGGGCGCGCACTGCAGACGGCGGTTTGGTTGCCGGAAGTTGAGAAGCGGTAAGAGAGTCGCGGCTGACGGGGGTGTAGTGGGGTCTTGCGGGGTGGGTTTTGGAGGTCTGAAGACAAGGGACGAGCTCTGCGGCCAGGGCGAGGGTCACAGCAGGTCTCAGGATCCTCCTCGGCCTGCCTCTGGCGGTCCTCCCACCTCCAGGGAGCCATCGACTCCGGCTCTCGCCCTTCTTCTCCAGCCGCGTCTCCTCAGACTGGTTCAGTCCGGGGTCTTCTGACTAGGCAGCTCGTGCTGATTTCCTAAGTCAGCCCCACCTGCCCTCATGGTGGGTGGTGCTCAGAATCTCCAGTGTTGGAACACGGGAGGTAGGACATCTGGGTTCTCATTCTGGCTTTGCCCGGATTTGCTGTGTGGCTCTGGCACGTTCCTCCCTGTTCTGAGTTGGTGTTCCCTCATCTGTAAAATGGGAATGATACTCTGTCACTTGTTAAGAGCGGTGGTTAAAGTCAGTTTACTCTACTGAAAGGGCTGTTCTGAGTTAAGGCTCTTGACTCCTTGGTTTGGTCGAAGGGTTACAAACTAACGCACAATAAGATTCAATCAGGTAAGGTAAATGTAGATGTAAGAAATTTTCTTTGTCAGGAAGAGTCAAACTTTTGTTTTTACCGAATTGACTTTTATTAGCACACTACTAACATATGATGTTGGAGAAGTGAAACCAAAACTCCAGTATGTGTGTGCGTGTGTGCACGCGCACGCAGTCTCCTGAGTTTTAAACACTGGCGACCAATACAATTTTTAAAAAATTAGCAAATCCGTTTTTTAAAACACTGGCAACTAATTCAATTTCTTTTAAAGCCTGTTCAGCTGTAACCAGGCATATCTGTGGCTGCCACTTTGAGTCCTCTGTGTTCCAGGCCCGTTTTCCCATTGACTATTTGGAGTTTTTCTGTGACACTTCTGCCCACAGGCCAAATTTCTTCAGTGACAGAAAGCTTATTGTTCTCCTTTAGACTCTTGGGATCACCCTGCCATTTAATTGCACTGTACATTTTTGAAAGCTAGTAGTTTGTCTTCCTCTTCCCGCCTTTTCCTATCTAGGCTAAGCATATTTATTTACTCCTAGTAAGCTCCACAACGACAGAGAATTTTTTTTATTTGTTATATTTCCAACATTTAGAACAATACCTAGCATATATGCTCAATAAATATTTGTTGGATGAGTGAATAAAACAAATGTTTGCCTGTTATGTACCAGGCATTATTGTAGGCACTAGTGATGTAACAGTAAAATAAGACCAAAAAGAATCCTGTTTCATTATGCCTATTTTTTGATGGATAAATATGAGACTTTTAAGGGTTAGTATGTGTTTCAGATCCTGATAGGTGCTACAAAAAGAAACAGCGTCATAGGATGGAGAGTAACTGGGGGAAAGCATAAAAGCTCGCTGGACAGGGATGACTTCTCTGAAGAGGTGGGGTTCCAGCTAACAGCTGAAGGAAGAAAAAGCCTGTCTTGTGAAGGTGCATCTTGCCAAACTGTTCCGCCGTCTTCCAGCTCTGCTCCAGTCTTGTTAAACTGCTTGCAGGTGTGTCTCACCTAGAGGCCTGTGCTCCTTCTACTGTCTAGAACATCTCTCCTTCCCCTTTCGTTTTTCTTGGCCAACTCCTCCCTGCCCTCACGTGACATGATTTTGAAACCCTTTAAGGAACTGAGTACTGAACTCTCCGTTATTCAACCACAGGATCCCTTTTCTGTTCCCAGTCAGCTTGTCATCGTAGAGAATAAACGTAATGTGTGTCTGGCACTGCACTGCAAGCCAGGAGTACAAAAGTAAGATACACATCCCTGTCCTCAAGGAGTTTACTTTTTTCTTTTTTTTTGGAGACAGAGGGTCACTCCTATTTTGCCCGAGCTAGAGAGTGCAGTGGCGTCATCATAGCTCACTGCAACCTCAAACTCCTAGGTTCATGTGGTCCCCCTGCCTCAGCCTCCTGAGCAGCTGGGACTATAGACGTGTGCCACCATGCCTAGCTAGATTTTCTTTTTTCTTTCTTTTTTTTTTTTTTTTGTAGAGAAGGGATTTCACTGTTGCCCAGGCTGATCTCAAACTCCTGGGCTCAAGCGATTCTCCCACTTCAGCTTTACTTTTTTTTTTTTTTAGTCAAGGAGACAGACAACAATATGGTGTGAAACTATTGCAAAGATTTGGTAGAGAGGTTCTCATAAGTCAGGCTGACGCATCAGAGAAGGCATCTATGAGGAGACACAGCTTTATCCAGCACCTCAGTGATAAGCAGGATTAGCCAGGGAAGAGGGGTGGGAGGTGGGATGAGCAAAGATCTGTGGGTGAGAATGCGTGGTGCCCATGGTTCACTAGACTTGCAGTGTAGAGTTGTGGGATGTGAGGTGACTGGACGGGTAAGCAGGAGCCACATCCCGAAGGGCCTTGTGGACAATAGCATGTTAAGAGCACATGCACTTTGGGACCTAAGATACCTGTATACCAATAATAGCTTTACCACTAAACTGGTTTTGTGACCTTGGGCAAGTCACTTCCTTTATAAGCTTCAGTTTCCTCATCTATAAAAAGGGGAAATAGAAATTGAATGATGTGCTGTGTTGCTCACTTGGCACTGGTAGATGAAAAACACTTAATAAACAGTAGCAGTTAATAATGCCAGGCCAGGCAGTTTGGACTCTAAAATATGGGGGTGGAGAGCAGGGCACTGAAGAATTTTAAACAGGGATGTAACATGCTCTTATTTGTTTGAACTTACCTGGGCAGTAGTGTGTGATTAGAGTGGACAAGAGCAGCAGGGTCAGGGCACTGTGTTTTTTTTGTTTTCTTTTGAGACAAGGTCTCACTCTCTCACCCAGGCTAGAGTGCAGTGGCATCATCATAGCTCACGGCAACCTCAAACTCCTGGGCTCAAGTGATCCTCCTGCTGCAGCCTCCTGAGTAGCTGGGACCACAGGCGTGTGCCACCACGCCTGGGTAATTTTTCTATTTTTTGTAGAGATCGGGTCCTGCTCTTGCTCAGGCTGGTGTTGAGCTCCGGACCTCAAGTGATCCTCCCTCCTCAGCCTCCCACATTGCTAGGATTACAGGCTTGAGCCACCGTGCCTGGCATGGGCACTGTTGCAGTGATCCAGGTGACAGGATAAAGGCAGTGGCTGCGGACTTGGATAATACGGAGAGAGGAAGGAGACAAGAACAGGATATTGGGGTGCGTGGGGTGCAGAGCGAGGAATGAATCCACTGTGTGGGAATAAACAATAACAAAGTTCATTGGCTAGTGGTCTCTGATTGGTTATCCCTGACCTCCTCCAAGATTTTATTTGGAAGTCAATTGGCCTGTGCCCTCCACTTTTGCCAGTGGAAATGAAGTTTGCTAATGCCTTCCTCCTCTACTGTTTCTATCTCCTGATCTTCCTACCTTTCTCCAGGCCTGCTTGTGTAATTAAGGGAGATTAAATACTGCAGGTGCTGCTTTGTTAATTGTAGCCTATATGCATTTCCATGGTTTTGGCACACTGGGTAACAACCTATTCACTCCATCTCAGACCAGCTCCAGAATGATCACCTTTGGGATTTCCTCACACCTTCTTTCTCCCAGTTACCGTCCTTTGAACTTGTTCCTGTTTGTCAATTTGAGTGTGTGGTGTGGAAAGGAGGTCCTGGAAGGGTTAACTGTGCAGGGCAGCATTACACTTTCCTTGCAGTAAGCTAAGGCTCTGCCAGCTGCGTTGTAACACATCTTGCTTTGACACTATCACACTGTTGTGCCGCCAACAGGCCCGCCTGCCCCTCAGTGCTGCCCAGTGCTCCCCACCTGTCCTCAGGCAGCACTCTTGCCTGTTTCCCTGTATGTCTTCTCCGTTTCATTCCTCTCCTCAACCTCCCGCCTTGCTTTTGCTTCACTAAGTTGCAGCCATCAGTTAAGGCACCTCAACTTCCTCTTCTCTCCTTTACAAACTGATCTCCAGCTCACCCTGTCCCTTTGCCTTTTATTCTAATTCTGCAAGAGAAACGGTGTTTATTTTAAGGCTGATTTCTCTACTTGTTGTTTGAGATCCCATCTTCTCCTTTGCCTCAAGGACCTGGTTCCATCATCTGTTCATTTTCTTTCCTGTTTTACCAACTCCTCCCATTTAAATATCTTCAGTTTACTCTGTGGAATAAAACAAAATAATCTCCCCATCAACCTGTGCTGCACCCCATCACACCTCCTCTTCCCAGCCACATTTCCTGGAAGAACTGTCTGGAGTTGCCACCTCTACTTCCTTCAGTCCTTCTTTGCTGAAATCCTGCTCCCGTCCTTCAGCTCCGTTAGAACTGCTCTCTCCAAAGTCATCATTGTTGCCAGGACTCCTGAACACTTTTCCTTCCTTACCCGTTGACTTCTTGGCACATCTGGCATTGCTGACCTTGCCCTTCACTTAGGAAAACCAGTCCTGCTTTGTGCTATCTCTGGCCATTTCCCCTTCAATTTCCATTGTGGGCTCTTTTCTTCTTTTTGTCTCTTAGATGCCAACTTTCCCCAAGGCTCTGCCCTCTACTCTGTGTTCTTCTTACCCACAGCTTCAACAGTTGTTTATATGTTCATAATCCCTGCTCTGTATCTGGAACCTGAAACTCTCCTGAGTGCTACCCTCAAATTCCTCATCTTTCCTCCAAACCTGCCACTCCTTTTCCATTCTTTAATCTTGCCCATTCCCCTCCTTTCATTTAGTCACCCAAAACAGAACACTGGGAGTCAGACTTTTCCTCTCATACCATCCCTCCTCCTCTCCCTCCCAGGCTAGGCAGTCATCAGAATTCTGTAGATTCAACTTCTTTGATATCTCCTGGCATATGTTCTCCATTTTCTCCTATTCTGCCTTAGTTCAGGCCTTCCTCACTTCCTGCCTGTATTCCTGCATAGCCTTCCAGCTGGTTGCTGTGCCTGCAGTCTGGCACTTATGGGTGTTGGAGCACCCTTTCTAAAATATGGATCTATGCTAAAATATAAGTCCATAGCTTGTCACATAAGGTTCTTCATGATTTGGCTTTTGCTTACCTTTATGCTGTGGTTTCCAGCTACTCTGCCACATGTACCTTTCCTTCCTGCCATACGGAACTCATTTGTATTTTCTCAGACATACATACTGTGCTGTTTCATTCGTTCATAGGTTAAATCACCAACAAGTATTTATTTATTGGCTACCTATGAGGTGCTAGGACTGAGTCAGATGCTAGAAAAACAATGATAGAGGGGGGAAATGAAAAATTGACACAGTCCCTTTCTCTTAGAATTTTTATTCTACTAGAGAGGAATGACATTCAAAAATATTTATAAAATAACTGCATATGTGCTATGA